CGAAAGAAACTCCACTGAGCACCTAGTGCTAAAATAACTCCAAAGCTAGAAGTTATGTTTCATGTGGGATTTCAACAAAAGAGTTTAGAACAAAACTCTGATCAGAGTTAATCTGTTTTACAGCTTAAACCCTGCACCTTCACTCTTGCGGAAAGAAGAAAGCGAACCCTATAAGAAAGCCAAAGTTTTACAGTGGGACATGCACATCTACTTCTGCCCAAAGCAGCTAGCTAGTGGACAGCTTTATCTTTGTGACCTGTCCATCACCAGAATATGTGCTAAAGACCTCACCACCCCGATTATCCTGTACAAGCCATTTATGAACCATATCCACATGTAGAAGTTAAAAGCAGCTGTTGTGGAGGCTTCAGTCATGCAACGATCAAAGAAGCCCAGGGGGTGGCTGCAAAAGTGAAAAAACTCTTTAAGAGAAAGTCCAAACCCATCAGGTCAGTATCTGAGACACCCTTCACCCCTGAGAACCTAAAGGTTCATGTTCCACTTCAAAGACAAGGCTCCTTCCAACAGCTTTACTGAATGAGGGCCTTTATATGAGACAGAATTTGCTTTAATTAATGAAGAATGCTACAAGCATTTGGTTCTGCCATTACCTACAAGTTAATCACTTCAACCTATTGCACTGGCAAGTCTGTTCTCACACTTTCATCTAGAAGAACTTCAGGGTACAGACTGCCTTTTGGAGCAACCCCAGTACTTTATGCACTACCTTGCAAGACACAGTAACAATTTGAACCCTTGTTTATGGTCACACTTTTATAGAATAGCAAAAGATAAACATTAAGACTGGCACCTTATCTGCATTATCCTAATTTACTTTAATATAGTATATTTAATTCAGTGTCAGTATATTTGAAGACAATTACCTCATCAGATTTACTGCTCTATCCTGGCTGAGGTAAATAGTAACTCTAGTTTAGTCTATTTAACTAAGTAAAACATCATTATCACAGATTTGTCCTTACAAATTCTGCACTGTGATTATGTATGTGTTCACAGTGTTCCACAAAATACATACTGTGGTTTATCTGCTTTCTACCACAATACCTGAGAATAGCATGTGATTTGTTATCTGCATATATATTTTTGTGGGGTTTTCTTGGCAATATCCATTTGAGAAGTTTAATAAGAAATTACAGACTTACCCTGCATTTCTTGCATGTGAAGAAAGATATGCCTGGGCACACATATTTCTGTTTAACATTCTCATACAGCAAGTGTGAATAGTTTTGGTACAGGTTATACATATCTATTTGGTACAGTTTAGAAATCACTGGAGCTACTATGCACATGGAGAACAATATTAAAGGTGCATGTTTTGGTTCAGCACAGTTGATAAGCTGATAGTCAGTTCAAAGAGACTTTTATCCTGGTGATTAAAATATTGAAAAGGTTAGGTGTGTTCATGAGAACGACACAGCTGTGTGGCACCAACCTGCAGCATTGAAAGGCTGTTCAAGTAAATTGAAGCTTGCTCCCACTCACAGATAGATTTGGGTGCATTCTACACAGGGTACGTGCTCTGAAAAGACTTCAAAAGAAACCTGGGAAAGTCTTTGTTACTTTGAAGCATTCCATTTTCACCTAACCTTACAGCCTCTAATCATAAATATAAAACTTCAAAGTAACCTGGGTAATTTTTCTGTAACCAGGAATAAAAGAAGAATGTTCTACAGAACTTTTTCTGAAAAATTGCTGACTCTGTAAAGATGAGAATAGAACTCAGCAACATGATTCTTAGCTGTTAGTTTAGTATCTAGATCTCTACAGGAGCTGGAAAGTGAAAGCAACACCCTGGGAATACTAAGGATCTGGCTCAGCATTTTGGGTGAAATCAAGCCCTTCTGATACTAACTAGTAGGAGCAGAACTCCTACTGTCTCTAAAGAAAATCATTTCTAATTTTTCAGCTGAGCACATTCCACTTTTTTATGATTTCAATGTTTTGGGAATGTCTGAGCCACTGGCTTCAGGTTTCCAAATGCTGGACATGTAGGAGACATTACCACCTATCCAGATTACTGATGTCCCAAGTCTTACCACCAAACACAAAACCCTTTCTTCAGCATGTCCCTCCTATTCCTTAAGTGACTGTGTGAGAGCACACACGCATGTAACGCATCATACTGTGTCCCCAGATGTACATGGTAGTAGGGAATGACACTGCAGCCATCTACAATTAGCCAATGTCTTCCACTGGGTCTCCTTTAGTAGTGGGTCTTTGCAGGTGATTCACCTTTAGCCCATAGTCTTGTACTAGGGTCTAGGTTGCTTAATGTATTAGTAAGTCTTAAGGAACTTCAAAGCATATTAATGAAAATTAGCCTAGGTAATGCCAAGTGGTAAGAGGGTTAAACGAAATGTTACTACTTGAGACTGTGTCAGAAGTCAGAAGAATCAGAGGACCTTTAGTCTTTGAATGGTAACAAAAGCTGGACATCTGTGATTCTCAGGAACACAGAAATTAGGACTTGCCCATTCTGACTTCTTCCCCGTGGTACACATCAAGCTGATTTATGGAAGGATGAAATTAAGAAAATACTATTACAAACAGTGATTAATCCTGATTTACAACAGTTCAAACTGTGACAGAAATTGTATCACCAGCCAACCACAGAATGCTTAAAAGATTCATGAATTTTGTTTGTGTCTGTACTTATTATTCCACTCTAGATACCTTTATCATGGGAGCTTAAACAAAATCAGGTCATGGCAATGTGTGACGCCGTTGATAATCTATACTATGAGTAATCTTCCTGTGCTGCAAGAGCACAGATAAGTGTTCAGTAAGCTTTGCCCAACTGATTTACAGTTAGCTCAAGAACATTAGGTGTCTGCCTGCCTGTTCATAAATCTTTGATGTGTGTGTCTGGCTGGTGTGTTGTGCCTGACATGTGAACTGTGTAAAATATGGTTCACAGGTTTTTACTACTGTGGTACCTTTAATATCTCCACCAGCAGGTATTTCACAGATACAGTAGCTAATGCTGCTCTCCAGTCACAGCATATCACCTCTGTTCAACCCAAATGCTCTTTTAGCTCTCATTTCAGCTCTGCACCAATTACACTCTCCAGAGGTAGAAATAATCTAAGTTCAGGTTCAATATTCTGTGTAGCATGACAGCTCTTCAGCTGGAGATTTTTCTCCTGAAAATCCCTGAGAGGGTAAGACATGATGGGAGAAGGAAGCCCAACACACAGAGTGCTTGATGCCTTTCCTGACTCTCCACCAGCTTTGCTAGTCTGAGTAAAATCTATTAGGAGCATCTCTCACTAAAACCAGAGAGGAAAAAGGGAGTCATCTCTTAGGTGGGAGTAGTGGTTGACACTTGAAAACTACTTATTATTAGCCAATATTAACCATACATCAAAGCCAGATGGCTTCAACCAAGCCAAAGTATTGCTGCAGCAGGGTAGAGCAGAGCAATTAAGACATATGGCACTGCCTTTAAAGGGATGATGCTCTTTGCCACCCAGGCCTATGAGGGTTCTAATTAACACTGTGAGCTACTGCTAAAACCAACAAAAAGATCCAAATTACATTTAGTCTTGGATGGAATATAATATCTGTGCTGGCAGTCCACTGTTTGTGTTTTGACACGGGTTTTGACACAATTGGAAATAAGGTTTGATAGGTCCTGTTTGTTCTTACTCCTAAATCACTGCAGACAGTGACAGGAGCTGGAAAGTGAAAGCAACACCCTGGGAATACTAAGGATTTCCCTGCATACAGAAGTTTCACTGCTGTAAATGTAACTCAATTAAGTTTAGGCAAGTATTTATTCAGGGTTTCCCTAATATACAGTGATTTACAAGTGGCTGTTGTAGTTGTAAATTTTCACTTATGTTTGGAAGTGCAAGTCAAAGAGGCAATCGTGCACAGACTTAACTAAATTAGTGGGGAGAAAACCCTACTTTTCCTCCCACTGATATAACTTGGTCACAGACCAGTTCTAATACGGATGATATACGACCTTAAAAGTCTCATCTCATAAACTTTCTATTACCTGCTCTCTTCCAGCTTGTCAGGAGCTTTATTTTAAATATAATTATGGGTCTTAAAAAATATTAAGCTGCTCTTTTGGGGAGTCACAACACTACTTTGCCTTAAGTTAATAACCATACAAGTTGCAAGATCTTCCTCCTCCTGGGCCTTCTGCTCCACCACAAGGGGCAAGATTTCTTCAGACCTTGCTCTATTCAATTTTCAAAAGGCAGAAGTGCAACATCAGAACACTGTAACCTGCTATAATCACAATGCACTATCATGACACCAATGGTCATGACAAGTTTGTCCTTCTCCAAGTTTCTACAGAACACAGAGATGTCTTGGGCCACATGCTGGCTGGCAGAGATTAGCACACTGAAATTGGCACCATATAAACCTTTTTTCAAGAAGTCTAGAGCCTGCAGGGAAAAGAAAAGGAATGACAAGTCCTGAATTACAGCAGTTTAGAATATTTGTTCTAGTGCCTGCACACAGACATCAAGCTCAACAATTACTTCGCATTCAGCTCCACTCTAAAAGCTTTAATCTGCATATGGCTGCCTAAGCCACCAAGAATAATACTTGACTGATCACAACACTATTCCAAAAATCAAGTGTGAACAAGCACAGAGAAATAAACGAATCCAAGGATTTTCAGTGTAAATATGGTGGATATTTAACAGTGGGTTTTGCCCTGGCTGCCATGACAACAAACTGCATATTCAAGATCCAACATAATTGGATTAAATTAATGTTCTGTGTTGTCTTGAACTCACCTACTAGAGCCCTGTAGCTCAGAAAATTTTCTGTGTAATCCTTGGATACAGCAATACAGCATGACATACCAGTGCCCATCCAGTTCTCCCCATTCAGACCTGATGTGAGATCTTTTCAGAGACCTACATATTGGAGCTCCCTACTATGGCATTTCTGAGTTAGCAGAACGAGTACTTGTTTAGGCAGCACACAACGACTTCTTGAATTTATATTCTTACCTCTGCAGCTAAGTAGTTTCCAGTTGCCAAATGCTTAAACCTAAACAAGCTGTTCCATTGTCCTGCCCCTCCCCGGCAAGGGTCATGATGGACAACCTAAAGAAGACAGACCAGACTGAGATCACTGACAATTCTTACAGCTCATTCCAAATAAAAAATATGCTAACTACATAATTACAAATAGTCTACCTCAGAGAGGAATTCTGTGCTCACACTAAGGCCACAATAGGTGGCCACTTCCTACATTTATTTCTTAGCACATTTATTTATTACCATGCTCCTCCTAGTAATTACAATGTTTTCATTAATCTACTCCCTGCAAGCATGATGCATCAAATTTTGCTTCCAAGTGACATGTTGTGAATCTGGAGCTCAAGAAAGTATGTGGAGCTACACTTACATAGTCACTACTTAAAAGCAAAACTCAAACCCTCTTACACTGTGTCACCACTTACAACAGCTCTACTTTTGAGAACTCTAGGGGATTCTGATAAATTCATTCAAGTGATAAAATATCCCCACATAATTTGAAATACCCCAGGTTATTCATTTTTCCCCTTAACTGAGCTGTAGGTCATTTGCTACCTTCAAGCACAGCAGTGCCTGTCTCTCTTCAGGAGTAATCTCACACAAGTGCAATTTACTCTATGCCATACAAACCTTATTCAGACAAAAATCAACCATCTGCCTCAGTGAGGAGCTCTGTTTTAAACGCACAAAGTTTGTTTAGCACATAAGAACTTCCGGATGTAGGAGTTACATTCCTGTATAGCAAAGGTTTGAGACATAGCAGTTTCCTCAGTTAAAAAAATAAATCTATCTGCTAGTCACCTTCTCAAAATCACCCCCACTCAGCAACATCATCTTTATCCAGCCTAGCTTTAAGCAGATGTTGACGTGCCCTGTTGCAGAAGAATGGACTCAATCACCTTTGTGAGATTTCTTGTCAGTCGTGAATTTCAAATTTCTATATTGCACACAAAGTCTAACATAAACACTAAGAACTCACTCAAAATAGATGAGTGTCATTCGATTTTCTTCGATAAAACACCAAGCATCTCTTCAGTGCTCATCCTACACAAACAGCTTTATAAAATAATAATAGTCATGGGGAGGTGTATGATGATATCAAGAGGCTATGAATGATTCATGTTGTGGTAAAGTGTTTTTACTGAACCCTGGCCTTCAGGTCCTAAAATATTTATAAAAAGGATGAAAATACCTCTATTTCCCACAGTGCTTTAGAACTTGTTGCTGAAGTGGCTGACTGACGTAACGTAGTACGAAGAAATATGTGTTGCTTCTTCTCATATTCGTCACAGGTCAGAAACTTCTCTTGCTCTGCATGAAACAGCCTAACAACATCACCCTGAAGTAGTATGAAAAAGAAGCATCATTAAGTGGTAGGCAAAGCTGCCAGGCTCATCCTATAGATCTGTACTACCCTCCAGCAATGACACCATCGCTGACATGAAGAAAACAATTACTAGCTTCCTACAGCTGGGACCAGGCGCCGAGCATAAAATCTCAGCACTGAGTCTGGAAATCAAATGAGATGGTTCCATCCTGCAGGAGACCCATGCACTTTGGTGAAAACAACTTGTTTTGGCACACTGCAGTGAATAGTGGGCAACAATTCACCTAAAGGTGATTTTTAATTCTACCTAACTACTAAACTTTTTTTTTTTCTAATCTCTCTTAGTATTTAGAAAAAGTGAACACATTTTTCTATCATACTATCTCATCTCTTCTACTCTGCAACAAAAACAATGTCCCCCTCTCTATTTCTTCTGTTGGCATAATTTTTGCATCCTTCTGCCTCTACCCAAGGCTTGAAACACTATCCCCAAATGGATTTACACAGATATACCATTTTACCTTTCAAATTCTTCCTCAGAAACTTGATACCTACTGAAAAATAGCCAGTTGATAATTACTTATTAAGGTACAGGTGAGGATAAAAGAGATTTTCTGCTTTAAAATGAAAACATAAATGATCTCAGGGAGTGACCTGGAGGCACGAAGCTGTGCAGTCTCTCACCATTTAAAGCTACATTGTCTTATTACAGCTATTGTCATCTTTCATGCCTCACTCTTTTGTTATACTGACTTCTAGGATCTTGGCCTAAACAGAAGGGTCACAGCTGTTCTGTACAGAGCCCTCATTATTCTAGGGTTGAACTTCAACTCTTCTCATGGATCCTCAGTTGACTCTGGGAGGGGAAAGGGGCTGGAAGCCAACACAATCTGGATAATTTCACTTAGTAAGGTAGTGGCAGAAAGGAAAAACATTCTGGCAGTTGTAGGGATCCTCAACAGCTCCATAAAGTCCTCATTTCTTCTTCTACTCACCATGTCATTTTTCTCTACAGTCACATACAGCATGATTTTTTCAGAGTGACAAAAAATAAATGTAAAAATCCTACTTACACCTTTCAGTACATCATCTCGGTAACTACTGAATTTCATGAACAAAGTTATTTTCCAGCTTGTGTTACAGTTGACAGCATTTACCTTTGGGGGGAAAAAAAGACAAAACACACCACCATCATTAGAGTCTTAAGATAGGTTCTTTTCTCTTTGAGACATTTTATTCTTCTAAAAGACCACACCACATCCAGGATGGCAGGGGACATGGCTTTGCTACACATTTCCTAACAGTTTGTTTGCACAGTTCCTAATATGGGTCCTGAAGTTCTCAAGTGTTAATAATAATGATGTTGGAGATGATTCAGTGGGCAGAATGCTACTTTGTCTGTTGACAGCCTACCACAGACAACCTAAAGAGCCTGTGGAAGAGGACTTACACATCAGTGGGAATTTCAGACACTCAAGCAAACCTCACCAAGCTTTCAGTGTCAGGGAGAGCTGTGCCAAGAATATCTCATCTTGTTTTTTTGAGGCCAAGCTGGAATCAAGAATTAATACTAGCATCTAGACCACAGTGGGTTCTGGTTACCAGTAAAGAACAACATATAATACATCTCAGATCAGCAGTTACCCCTCCTCCCTCCACTGAACTCACCTCTTTGCAGCCTGGGTTATCTAGAAGCTCAATGTTGCTAGCATGTAAAGGCTGCCCTGCATTGACTGGCATGAGAACAACTTTATCTCCCACAACAACCTGGAAGTCAGAAATAAAATGCAATTTAGACCTTTGTAATTAACCAATAAAATGAAGTAATGTTACATTTTTAGAAAATTATTCAAATACATGCTCTAGGAATGGCACTCAGTGAATTTACTTGCAGACAGTTCACACACCAGCTTTGTTTGCCCATGCCTCTGTAATTGCTTGGGTGCAAGATTTCAATGCTAATGAATCCTTGCATTCTCAGTAAGCATGTCACTCAGTTCAGCAGAAACTCAGGAACATGAAATAGATACAAAACTATGAATTCAAACCTGTTCAGTTCATCTAAAAGTTACTTTAACTACTCTTTATCCCACTTATAATGCCAGCCAAAAGGCAGAGAAAGCTTAGAAAACAATCTGTAGTCAGAAAGCAAGAGTCTTTTCCCTCCCTTGCTATCAGTTAACTTTCTCCCATCAATATGTCTTCTATTTCACAAAAGCCCTGAAAATTTGCCTGTGACAAGACTTCTTCAGCCCAGTGACTTCCCAACTCTGTGGACCATCTTCTGTCAAATGTCACAGCAAGCTCAGCAGTTCTGCAATTTAGACTGTATGACAGAAATCTGGAAGGGAAAATAAATCACTGGAAATTCAGAGAGAGGCAAACATTTGGTGTTTGGAGCTCAGCAGAGGCAGCAGGTACATCAGCTGAGGGACCATCTCTCTATGGGAGGAATTCCTAGTTGACTTGCTGCAAGCAAATTCCCATGCCCTTTCAATTCTTTACCTATATGGACAGGGAAAAACAATATATGAAAATGTCTTTGACTTAAAAAGTGCTTGAGACATGCCAGTTCAATTCATACCTGGGAGGGGAGATAAATGAATAATTGGGGGGGAATCAATTCACATAGATTGGTTGGCACTGGGTCCTGATTTGTTTACGAAGATCAGAGCAGTACTAAGCACATATACATGAAGAAAAGTGACTACATGTAAATTTTGCTATATGAAATGCTGCACAAGCCATGCTTTCTTTTGGAACACAAATAAATAAAAATGCTTTCTGCATTGATCAGCACATATCCTATGAAAAAGCAAAGTCCAATTCAGCCTCGCGTAACTTCAACGCAGGTGAATTTGGCCCACTTATTGCAGTGGTGAAAAAGAAGGTTGCCTGCTCTTTACTAACACAGCTAAAATAAACAATAGCAAAAGACAGTGTCATCATGCTCAGACTACATGTGGAAATCCTATTTGATCCAAGTAATGTGAAAAAGTTCCCTAATGGAACCAAAATAACAACCAGATGCCTGTAAGATACATGATGCAAAACATTCCTGCATGCCATGCTTCACACAGACATTACTTACAGCCCATTTTAAGAAGTTATGACCAGACAATTCATTACTCAAAAAACCATCAGGCTTGTTTCCTGCAAAGTGGAATCATGACTTCAAAATTATTGCAAGTACACCAGAACTATAATAACTTAATTACCAAGAGAGTATGTCATTGAGCATCTTATTTAACAAGGGAGGAAAAAAGAAAAAAAAAAAAAGAAGAAAAAAAAAAAGGAGGGGAAGGGAGAAGGTATCTTTGAATGCAAGCCTGTGACTATCATGGAATTAATCAGAGGAAAGGAGATATACACAGCTACTCTGCTGTAAGCACACACTCAAGGAAGAACTGTTATGTAGTGGTCATGGTTTCTATCTCAGTCTCCTAACCTGCTCCATGCCCACATCAATAACCTGCCCTCACTGCTAGCCACCTTTGCCAGCTGCCACAGAAGCAACAACATACCCTATGTCATTTTCCTTTCTCATTTTTCTTCTTGCTTCACATTTCCATAGATGTTTGGGAAGGAAGGGACAATTCACAGTACTTGTTTCCTATACACCCTCCACCAGTGACACAGAAAACAAAAGCAAAGCGAAGAGAGAATCACGTTCTGTTACAGAGCGCTGCCTAGGAGAAGCTCCAGGTCTGCTCTTTTGAGTTCCTCTCATTCCCTATCCCTATTTCTGTCTTCAAATAGTGCCCCAGCATGCCCAAAACACCAGAAGCAGAGCACTCGCATGCTCACAGGACCATATTTGTGCCTGCAGAATTGTATTATATGGAGATGATAGAAGATAGAGCAACGTTTTCCCACGGTTTTGCTCAGTAAAAGTAAAATTTGACATCAGCTTTCTCCTCTTCCTTAGCCACCCCTGGGCACAGCCAGTGACAGTATGCTGTAGAAAATCAGTGGATAATAGCTTGACACACCTCTAGGACTTCTTCTTTACATCTAGACATTAATTTGCTAAAGTTGCATCAGACACACAGCTTTTGAGGATTTAATTCTTGATTCCTTTGACAAAACTGTTACCCATTATGGTCTAGATAAGAAACTTCTGGAGAACTATTACATTCATAGTGAAACCAATAAGAATTCAGCTTTGGAATTCAAGATGAACCTACAAGGTCCTTCTGTCTTGGATGCAGTGGAGTTCTTCCCACACAAGGTAATTTCTAAATTCATGCAGCCCTACTTGTCTATGTCTTGATGGAGAGGGGACATTTAGAGTGCAATGAGCCACAAGAAAAGCTGTCTGCAGCTTTTGCTTCTGGGTGGGGGACCAGTACTGGCACCATTTAGAGCGACTGCATCATTGGTATAAACTCAGCAAGCCCTCCACATCTACCCCCCAACCAAGGAGTAGGAGCAAATACTCTAGCAGAGGTGTAGTAGATCACAAAGACTGGCAGTTACAAAAGGCTTTATTAGCTGTGAAGGTACAGTAACAGTGGTTTCAGTTTGCACTAACTATCCAAGTATGTTACTGGGCACACCAAAGGCTCTACTGCTCCATCTCCGCTGCTTTTATGTTATAACCACATCTGCCAGTGGCACTGCTGACGCACTTAAAAGATCATGAAGATTAACAGAACTTTCCCACAGATGGTTGGGCATTTCCCAAGTCTGAGACCACCCCCCTTGGCATGCTGCAAGATTAAGCTTTCAAACCACTACAGTGGCAGAAATCTGAAAGTGCAACCCACATCAAGCTAATCTGGCTATCAGTGCACGTTTCGCTATTTAGTCTAAATGGAACCAGCTTCAGCCTTCATCAGGCACAACTTCTACTGAAGGAAAGCAGGTATATCTTTAGCAAAAGTCTGCATAAAATCTTACAGTTATGCAAATGATTGTAAATTTTCAGCCTTATGTTTTCATTACTTTCATTGACTTGTATAACTAATCAGTTGCTAACGAAGCTAAGGCAACCCCATTCAGAAAAATAACTTTAAAAATATTTCACACAGCTAAACTTACCAGAAGTTACACATATTACTTCCTACATCACAGCTTCCACCAGACTAAACCATTTTATTTTCTTTTAGGATACATGGCATACTTGAATCTACCTGTCCTGGGTTATCTGACACAGTAGCAGTCATCCACGTAGTAATTCAATACCCACGTATGCTGTTCTAAAGACTTTCTAACATATGTTTTCTTAGGGAATTTCCTCATTATAGCACAAAAACTAAAAAACACTCCCAAGTTTCCCAACAGAATAAAGACCTGATATACCAAGCTAACTCCATGCACCAAATTGTCAGAAAGAGAAAAGTATACAAAAAAAGAGAAGTCCTTTAAAAGCAAACCCAGTGAGTAGGCAAATTTGCCCCAGCTTCTTTGGTATGAGGTGCTTTGTAGATGAGTGCCCCAGAAACTAGCCTTTTAATGGACACATGTCCAGGAGTAACTGAGAAGGAAGGAGCAGGGTACAGGGCTGGAGTCTTTCTCCCCCTGCAAGAGGCAAACGAGCTATTTCTCCCATTGCTTGCTGATCCTGTTCCCTTTACAACAGCTGCCTCACTTCTGTAACTGTTGAAGGGGTGGAAACGTGCCACAGCAATTAAGAGGAAGCTACCAAAGGCCTAATGTTTAGCACTGGAAGTTTGTAAAGAAAGTTATCAGATCTGTTTGAACCTGGTAGAAAGGAGGAAAGACTTGGGTCCCGAGACTTCCCTCTGTAAAATATAATGGCAAGCTCCCAGCTCTCAAAGACAACATCTGGTGATAGAAAGTGAGCAGCAGGCAGGTTCCAAAATAAGCCATTATGTTAGGAGTAAATCTGAGAGTTTACCACACAGCCCTCGTAGCTCAGAGCCTGTCAAATACAGCCCCACTGGAAGCAAACTGGGTGAGAGGTCTGTGGAGTGGGATGTTACAGCAATCACTGCAATGATTTGCAAACTTTTTAGACCAGCAAAACCACTTCCAAACTCTTGTGTGCCCACAGTAGTGTAACATGGAATAAAAAAAACTCTGCAGTACTGAGGATGACTAATAAGGCTTTTGCTGCTCTCAGCTGTAAGGACCCACAATGGCTTTACAGATCATGAACTGGGAATCCCAGGTTCTCACTCTGGAGAACATGATATGCACCTATTTCCCAGGAATGAGGGCATGAGAAATCAAAAAGATGCTGAACTTACGTTATTCCAAGAAACTAAGCCAAGAATTTCACCTTTTTTTCTTCCCAAAAAGAGCATACCAGGTCCATGTTTGTTCCACACTTCCCCAGCTGAAAAGCCATGCAGAGGTGCCCCTCAGGGCTACTCATGCTTGCTGCTTTTCTTTGCAAAAGGCTCAGGGAAAAAGGGATCTTTTCACATACCCTTCTGATCACTGTGTAGAACAGAGAAAGACTATGACTTTAGGGACTTCTGACCAGGAGCTGAGAATGCAGTACTGCCCCTCCCCACAACTGATTGCCAAAAGAAGCTACAAGAAACCACACTCATCCTGGATAGCATTCCAAGAGCTGGGTAACCACAAAGTTAATTAGAGAAAATACATGTCTGAGATCTTGAGAGGGCTCTTCCACTGATTACTTCACAGGGGAGAGTGGCCAAACATTCCCAGCCAGGTCTACAGCATAAAATCACACACGTGCATCATGTGGCCATCCCAGAGGCAGATCTGAGTTTTCCACAGCAGGCATTTAACCAAGCCACAGGTGACTGAATGAAGAACTGAGTTTTGATCTCATGGCGTAACTCAGATCTGCAGCCAAGAGCACTCCTATATATTCTTCCTCTTAACAATATCCAAGACTCCTACTGAAACCTACCCAGAAAAGACCCACCAGACTATCCAACCCAGTTCCAATCAGACCCACCAGACTATCCAACCCAGTTCCAATCATAGATGCCACTGTCACATTGAGGGGGGATAAAAATTTAAAGAAAGCTGATGCATTTCCTAGAAATGTTGAAGAAACAGTCTTGAAAAAAACGTTGCCCAGAATATTTACAGTTTTTTACTCTGCTGTGAACTATGGCTTATTGTCAGCTTTGTAAACCTGCAGACAGCAGGTGCACTTAACAAAGGTCCCCCAACACAGGTCAGCAGAGGCTTGGATGAATGTGGCAATTCCAGATTCCAGACCATATAATTTGGTAACACTTTCTAGTTATACATTAAAGCTAATAGTCCCAAGCACTGTTTGTTTGCTATTTTCTGAACTTAATTAATTAGGATTTATGACAGTAGCAAAGAAATCAGATGTCTTCTGGAAACTTTCTGCCTTCTCCCTCTTCCACATACAGTACTTCCACTTACATTGTCACCTTCACTCCTCAGTTTCCAGAATGGCTGGATATAAAACCAGGATCCCTCGTTCCCTGCAGCATCCAGAGACACCCGCATAGCGTTCTTCTCCAGCAGAGCTGGCAACCTCTTATTGACTGTGAGGTACTTGTTACTTTTTATGTGCAGTAGCTGTGAACAAAGAGTAATTTAAAAAATTAGTGTTGCTTCTTCTCCTTTCACTTAAAAGAGAAGGCACAAGCTTTCCCACTGCAGTGGTTTTTCGTAACATACACCAAGACAAAATGAAACTAGAAGAGAGTTATCAAAGTACACTGCAGCTCAGGAAGACAGATGCTGCACCTCAGACTGAGAGAAAACTGCCAGCAATGAATTTTACACTATATACTACACTTGTAGGGCAAGGGTCCATTAACAGTGTTACCTTCAGGAATTTAATTCATTACCGGAAAGTTGTACTCTAACTTCTGTCTTGTTTATATGTCATGAAGTACAAATTACTCCAGTGATTTAAAAGGAGCTGCACAGCACCTCTATAATATGATTTTGAAATAAATCTTGAAAGTAACACATATTTACATTCAGATTCTAAACTGCAGCAGCAAAAATTACACATAACATTTATATTATGACATATTATTTAAACATGAATATGCAGCACTTCTGGTAGGTTTTAAGACAGACAAAAAAACACAATATTGTAAACTTCACCAAGTTCTGTTTACCTGACCCTTAACAACCCAGATTACAGTGGCTAGTTTCATTTTCACTGTAACCTTGAAAAGAAACAACTGTCTACTTTCCAGCTCTGAGAGAAGACAGGCAGATTTCAATAGGTTTACCTGTATGACGTTGCTATATTTTACAATTTCACCCAACAGCTTTCTGTTCTCACTTTCGTTCTGCTTTTGTTCCAGTTCTGCTGCATGCTGCAAGAGAACGATTACTTCTTTAAACTCAATCAGTACTGGCACACAGCTAGTGTAAAAAAGGAAATGGTATCACATTTAAAATGTTTCCTCCAACCTGCAAGTGTTACTGCACTGAAAATATTAGCACCTGAATCCTGCTGCGGAATGATTTTCTGAACTATAATCACCTAGACCCTGTGTAATGATTCTGGCTTTTTATTGTCTGAAATAGAAACTCAAGTCACAATTTATGGATCACACCTGTGATGCATGCTATTTTAAAAACTTTCAAGCACAAAAAATAATTCCAGGTGCTTTATTTCATTATGGAAGAGGAAAAAGGCCTATGATTAGCTTCTCCCTGTCACCATTCCTTTTACTTGTTGGGTTTTGAATTGCATAGAAATACATCTACCTTATAGATAACAAATCTAGTAGGTCACACACTGCAAAACCAAGGCTAAGCACAATAGCCTGGGTCAAGCAGTCACAGAGCAAATTCTCAGCTCCTAGCTCTAATTGCTGTGCAGCTAGCTCTAGCCACACTCCATGTACCTTCCTTGCTTTTTTTAATGGGAAGCACTGGAAGCTTCTCCACTGCACAGGAAACTATCAGCCAGGTTTAATAAGCCCTTGTGTTCACTTCGTCTTAAGCATTCAATTGTAACATAAGGCCAGCTCATTTTCAGAGGGAGAGAAGTTGTTCCATCCACAGGGTACAGAATCTGCCCAGTGCTTCAGAGAAGAATCACCTAGACTGAACACAAAGACAACTGTAATTCTGAGGAATTTCCAGACTAGAGCATCGAAAACACCTCTTTGACCACCCCTCTGCCTAACTCCTGGAAAGGACTTCTAAAATACTAGCATGGCTTAAACCTGGGCCTACTCCTCATTTTAGCAACTTCATTTCTACTTTGTAAAAGTTCTGAAAGCAGTATTTTGCATATAGTAAAGGCATAACCCCCAGCCCAAAGCAAGATAAAAACGAGGTCAGGGCAAGTAAATGCCAGCCAGGAGGTAGGAGAGCTAAGGAAAATACAAAGTTCCTATGATGGCATAATAATACCCACCACAGTGGTTCCCAAGGCACTTGCTATTATTCCTTCTTGTTCTTTTGTAATTCTACAGCCTGCAGATTGAGATAAGATTACAAACACAGATGTGTCTTACTTGAAGTTTCTTCAACAGTGCTGCTTCTGTATGGTTTCCTTGTTTGGCTTGCTTGGCTTTCCAGTACTGCTTCTGGGCTGAATATCGGTTCATAGGACACACCTTGAAAAGGCAATCTGTGGAAGAAAAAAAAAAAGACTCCTAGGGAATGCTGAAAGACACTTCCTTCATTTGTAAGTATGTTTTCATTGGTTTTCTTTTTCCACAAATGTCTAGATACCAGCGTTCATAAACACAGTCACGGAACAGTTTAATAGCAATGATACCACAACCAGGGGTGGCAGAACATCTGAGTTAAACCTAAAGCCTTCAATGCTCCAGACATGCCTCCTCATTGCAAACAACCTCTGCAAGAGTCCCATGCTGTATGGCTGCTACATGCATAACTCCCTGCTGCTTTATTAGTGCTCTTTGCTGCAGCACAAGGTTGCAGATGCACTGTTTGAAGGCATGAAAAAACAGTCCTGCTTTCTGTACACCATACATCTGGCTGTCCTGCTGA